CTTTTTGAGACCCCTTTCAATTTTTTTTTCCATTTTAACAAAATGGGCCATATGTATTTTGATTAGGATTATATCAAATATATGGTTGACTTTGGAGAGGATTGCCTTCTTAACAACATTAAGTCTGCTAACCCATGAACATAGAAGTCTTTTCATTTCATTAGTTTCCATTCATTTCCTTAACACTGTTTTGTAGTTTTTAGTATATAAGTCACTTCCTAGGTTAAATTTATTTCTAGGTATTTTACTCTTTTGGATTCTCTTATAAATGGAATTGTAGTCTTAATATCCTGTTTAGATTGTTCATTGCTGGTGTATAGAAACACAACTGATTTTTTGTGGCTTGATTTTGTACCCCCAACTTTTCTGATTTAGTAGCTCTGGTGGTGTTTTTTTCTTCATTCTTCGAGATTTTCTGTTATCTAGAGTTACGTTATGTGCAAATAGAGATCGTTTTACTTCTTTTCTCATTCTGATGCATGATGTTATGTTTCTTTTTCTTACTTAACCTCTCTGGTAGGACTTCCAGCACAATATTGAATAGAAATGGTGAAAACATCATTTTCTTATTTCTCATCTTAAAGGGAAAGTTCTCAGTCCTTCACCTTTGAATATGACGTCACTTGTGGGTTTTTAATAAATGCCCTATATCATGTTGAGGAACTTCTATTCCTAGTTTTTTGGGGGCTTTTCAAAGGCAGACTAGTCTTGTGTCCCACCCTCCCTCATGTTAAAAATCTAATCCTCAGTGGATAACTCATAGCTTAATGTTCAGTAAAGGTTTGCTAAATTGTACAAATAAATGGGCTTGCTAATTTTTTTTTCTTAAGTGCCTATAAAAGTCTTATTTACCATAGATTGCATTCCTTAACTTTGAGACTTCAGGTTAATTTCCTTTTTTAAACAGAAGGTCTTTAAAAAATTGATTATCAGATTTGTTTGAAATGAATATTCCCTGTTTTCTGTTATTTATATTAGTTACTTCTATTACAGTCATCTCACATTTCTATCAAACTATTATAAAACAGTTCTTTGGATTAAAAATAAAATCCTCATCCATTCAGACTCATTATAGAAGATTATCAAGAGTTAACAATTCTTATGTTTGAGGTTTATATTTCTTGGCTTTTAAAATTAAGTTTTATAGAGGTGCCTGGGTGGCTCAGTTGGTTAAGCTACTGCTTTCAGCTCAACTAGGATCAAGCCCCGAGTTGGGCTCCCTGCTCAGCTGGGATCCTGCTTCTCTTTCTCCCTCTGTCGCTCCCCCTGCTTGTACTCTCTGGCTCTCTCTCTCTCTCTGTCAAATAAATAAAATCTTTAAAGTTCTTTGTAAACCATTGAGGAGTTTTAGTGTGCCCCTAAATAAGCACACATGTGTATTTTTGAACATAATCATTCAGGCTGTAATATCAGATACGATTCATATAGGGAGGAATTAGACTTAATCTGTGAATAAAAGATTTGCTAGGTAACCTAACCAACTGACTTGCTTAAAAGTGTAAATTTTTTTAGGGTCTTAAAAACACATCATAAAAATAATTATGTAGCAGTTGAATGCCATTAAAATTAACATTATCCTAGCTTAGCTCTTCATTTTTTTTTTTTTTTAAAGATTTTATTTATTTGTCAGAGAGAGAGTGCACAAGCAGGGGGAGAAGCAGGGGGAGGGAGAAGCAGGCTCCCCACTGAGAAAGGAGCCTGGTGATGCGACTTGATCCCAGAACACTGGGATTATGACTTGAGCCGAAGGCAGACACTTAACTGACTGAGCCACCCAGACATCCCTCTTTTCATTCTTTTAAGAGGACTGGCCTCAATTAATTTCTAAATTATCTATCCATATTATCTAAATTTATATATTTTTTCATTTTCACATATTTTACATTTTATGTAAAAATGTAAAAAATATTTTACATTTTATGTAAAAAAATACATTTTTCATTGATGGGAATAGATAACAGATATCTTAAAATCTCTAATATATGTCAGATATATTAGAGGGAGGAAATGCAGAGAAATATAAGAAATGTCTTTTTGCTCTTTTAAGGTTTGCTTTCTATTTAGTGAGACAAGAACCTGGGATTCCTAATTCTTTTTTTTTTTTTTTTTTAAAGATTTTATTTATTTATTCGACAGAGAGATATCACAAGTAGACAGAGAGGCAGGCAGAGAGAGAGAGAGAGAGAGAGAGGGAAGCAGGCTCCCTGCTGAGCAGAGAGCCCGATGCGGGACTCGATCCCAGGACCCTGAGATCATGACCTGAGCCGAAGGCAGCGGCTTAACCCACTGAGCCACCCAGGCGCCCGGGATTCCTAATTCTTAAACGGAGAGCTGTGAATCCCCAAATTTATGTATATGTGAAATTTTCTAGAGAGGGTATTTTTATAAGTTTATAAACTTTTATAAATTTATAAATTCTTTTAGATTATTTTCAGATATCTGCAATTGTAAAATGGTAAGAATCACCACCCTAGAAATTGAGTAGTCTAGTATTTAGTACTTTCTGCAGATTTTGCATATAACTGCTTCAAAACCAAGCAGAGAAAGTGCTTATTTGAAGCTTAATAGTAGTTACATTAGTAGTATTTATTTGAAGCTTATTTGAAGCTTAATAGTAGTTACAGTAGTAATCAAAATGCTGGAAGTAAATAGCAAAGTTCTGCTGATGATGAAAGTTACCATTTATCTTTAGTGAGAATTGTATGTGTTTAATATCAGGAGTACATCTATAAAATAATGCTCTGAGGTCAAAGTTTTTTAAATCAATGAAGAATTATCACCCTACTAAGAAAATTTGGGGAAGAAGTGTTTGTATGCATTTGCTTTAGCTATAGGGACATGGATGATTTGAACTGCAACACAGCATACCAACAACTAGAATTAAGTGATATTAAATAGCAAATATGCATTACATTATGCTATAAGATTAACCAAATAATATCCAACAAACTAAATCATCTTGGAACTAATTGATATTAATTAATTTTTAACTCACAAGAATAGTAGCTGTTGAAAACTATACCAACTAAACACAACAAAATATGCTTAGCTCCAAATTACAGAAATTCCCAGCCATTTGCCTATGTAGTGCTTTGCAAGTTTGCATGAGAGCCAGACTTCTTAGTAGAATGCAGTTTCAAAAATTTTAGGAAACTCAAGATTGCACCGAATTTTCATTGGTGGCATATATGCCTATCCAGAAGCTATTTGCCAAAAATACCTATAGCTTTTATTAGATTAGTTGAAATTTTATCCATTTTACTTTCTAAACCTTTTAACATCACCTTTCCCTCTTCCTTTCACTCCATCTATAGTCACACTCTAACACTTCTCTTAAGTTTACTTGGAGCATCTGCTGCAACTATCCACTGTTGCTGTATTTAGTATAATAAAATCCAGCAGTGGTATTAACCTAAGGCTGGGTAGACAGGTTTAATTTTAAATTTTTAACTCTTAAGATGTTTCTAGTTGAACACTAACTGAATTTCTTGGAACTTTTTGTTTGTTTCCTTTCAATACCGTTTCTTTAGAATTAGTAAATTTAACTACTGTCTAGCTAAAGGAGAATAACATTCATACTATTATTATAGTATAGTATACTATTATAGTAGTATAGTATAGTATAGTATACTATTATAGCATTCATGCTAAATGTTGCTGAGGGACCTGAATAAATATAAATAAATCATACCTAGGTTAGGAGTTTTGCCAAATACCCCTAGAACACATGAGTAAACAAACAATTTTGATAAAAGCAGTTCTTTCAGTGTTGGGATATAAAATGGAAGTTGTTCTACTGTGGAGTGTTTTTTAATCAGAAAAAACAATCATTTTTTTCTCAGGAAATGTTATAAGTGTATATGTCTTACTGTGGTTCTACATACATTAAACTAGTTATATATGAATATTTGAAATTAATAAAATAAACAAAATACTTTCAAGATTTAAAGTCTTATGTCTATTTATAAAGAATCTGGTGCTTTGACTATAGTTTTAGCATTCCTTTTCCTCACTTTTTTTTTTTAAAGATTTTTATTTATTTATTTGACAGAGAGAGATCACAAGCAGGCAGAGAGGCAGGCAGAGAGAGAGAAAGGGAAGCAGGCTCCCTGCTGAGCAGAGAGCCTGATGCGGGGCTCGATCCCAGGACCCCGGGATCATGACCTGAGCCGAAGGCAGAGGCTTAACCCACTGAGCCACCCAGGTGCCCCTCCTCACTTTTTAAATAAATAAATAAATAGATAGATAGATAGATAGATAGATAAAACCAGTACACCCAACTGGACTGACCCTCTTCATAGTAATTTTCTAGTACTCTTGGAGTAAAATGAAATTCATTCCTTGGTCTGGAAGTCCGTATAGAAGCTGACCCTTGCCTGCCTCTCCTACTGCTCGCAGCCTCTCTGGCTGTGAGCTTACATTTTTTTCTCTTCTTACAGTATGCCAGCCTGTGTCCATCTTAGCATCCTTTCACTTGCATCCTTGCACTTGCTGGAACATAACTCGCCCAGGTTCTCTTGTTGTCTTTTAGATGTTTAGATCAAGACCACCTCCCTAACACTCAGTACAAAGTAGTGTAATACAGTGTCATTCTCATACCACCCTTTTTTTGTTTTCTTCATAACATTTATTGTTATTTGGGATTATTTTATTTCTTTATCAAATTGTTTCTTTTCTGCCACCTTAGTGGGACTGTAGAGTCTAAATTCAAACTAAAATGAAGGGAGAAAATGTCTTTTTCATTGTACCCTTAGGACTGAAATTCTAGAACATCACTTAATACATAGCACTCATTAAATAGTTGCTGAATTTATGAATTAATTGTTTCATCTGTAAGTATTAGGTGTACTCTGAAAAATATTGTAAAGAACTTTTGGCTTATTTTGGGCTAAATGTTGTCAGGATTGTAGTATTTCCACTTATTTACCTTCTTTTGCTGGTTGTTAATAAGTAATAACTATTAATCTTAATATCTAGAATTACAATTTCATTTTTGACAGGTTGACTTTGGCAGAATATCATGAACAGGAAGAAATTTTCAAACTTAGACTAGGACATCTCAAAAAGGTATGTGAAGCATATGCTGAATTTTTAGTTTGTTACCAGAGGTTGTGGAGAGTTTGTACTACAAGTCTTATTGGAGAAGTCATCTTAAGAGAAAAAGAACCCAGAGTTTAGACAAAAAAAAAAGTAGAGGAAGGCCATTAAAGTTGTATTTTTAAGTTGAATATATTAAAATAACATTCCTTTACCTTGTGGCAGCTTACAAACATTGAGATCCTGATAATACCATGTCCCTATAGTGGAGAAGTAACTCCTGGCCAGACTTTCGGGGTCTTAGAATTACTCTGTTTAAATACTATTTTTGTAATAATGCTTCTTTTTTAACATGAAATGTAAATTTCCATATTGTTTGTGTCCATTTATAATAAACTGAAATAATTATAAATTAATAACAAACTTGTTTCTTTGGCTTAACTTTTAAGCTATCAAATGTTTGATAAATGTTTCAATTAATTTATGTACATTGGCAAGTTTAGAAGAACCTAATCATCAATAATGGTATGAAGTCATATAGTTTATCAAAATGTTGCTCTATGTTATTAGAGTAAATTTTTATAATGTATAGCTTTGTACTGATTTGTAAACTGTGACATTGTAACCAGTTTATTGTTTTTACAGTTCACATTTTTAGTTCAAGCCATTTCAAATTAATAATAATAGCTTTTCCCACTCAAATTGAAGTTACTGACAGATGTAAAATTCTTTTTTTTTTTTGACCCACTTTTTTTATTCTGCTTTTTATCACATTACTTACATATTTTTTAATAGGCTGAAAAGTCGCTAAAATTGAGTGAGTGAATTACTCGGAGCTAGATAGTTTCAGTGAAGTTGTCTTTCTGGGGTGGGGTGAGGGAGGACAGAAAAACCCATTCTTTGGCAGCTGCTATCATACTGTGTACTGTTTTGTTTTTTGGAATACTATGAAGGTGCTTTAGACCCCTGCCATTCAATTACAGGGAACAGAACAAAATTATAAGTGTGTGTGTGTGTGTGTGTAATTTGCATTACTGTTTTTCACTATATCATATCTGTCTATGCCCCTACTCAGAAAAGTTTCAACCCCAAACTACTTTAACAGTAAATTCTAACATGATTTATCCTGGTCTTTCTTTTTTTTTTTTTTTAAGGTGTATTTTGTTTTGTTGTAATTAGTACTTTTCCTGCTCTTTGAGATACAGTAGACAACGTCAGTCTATCCTCTCTAACAGATGGAGTTATAATGGGACTCTTGAAGGATTTTATAGTATAGAATTAGTACCAGTATTTGTGTGTCCACCTAAGCTATTTTGATAATGAACTCATAGAGACATATGTTTGAGATGTCCCCTATAAAGATTTATAAATTATTTTCTAACCAGCCTTTCATGATAACGAGACACATAAATGGGAGGCTTATTATTTTCACATAAAATAATTTTAAATTCTTTCTAGTGACGAGATTTTACATGTGTGTATTATATTTTATGAAAACCTGTTATATAAAATCTAAAATTATAAAGCAGTTAAATTAGGAATTGGTAATTTTTATTACAAAAAGAATATCAGTTTTTGAAAAGCTTCCGAGAAGGGTTTCCTTCTGGTTTTGATTGGTTGTGCTTGGTTGATTTTAAAGGTTTCCTGGTACTTTAAAAATACTCGGTTTCTCTGAAACACTTCTGTGTAAGTGTTTTAAAGTAAGGTATACTTAAATGTCTAGATACTATATAAACAGTTGCAAGCTGTTGTAGAGCACTATGCTTTCACTTCTAACCTCCATATTAGCCTCTTTCCCTATGTTTAACTTCTCCGTTTTTTAATTTACTCGTTCTTTTAATAACTGTCCCCTCCATAATCTTTTTCCTTTTTATTTTTTTCAGCTTTTATCAGATTTACTGAGCAGCTCTAAATTTCTAACTTTATCTTCGTAACCTGTTTACAATATTACTTTTTTTTTTTTTTTTTTACCAACATCATAGAATATTTTGGGAGAGTAGATAAACTACTAATGCTGAAATATGCTCTTATGTCTTGAATTCTCACATTTTCTAAGAAGCTATTTTGGGTGAGAAGAATGAATGTATTATAAAGAAAGTTGTTGGTAGTACATGCAGGGAACAAAATTGAGTTAAGTAGTGTCACCTTAGAGCACAAAAAAATACCAGTTGTCTGCTTACCACTGTATATTAATTTTTGAGTGGCAAAATCAAATAGTAAACATTAAGTCACATGTTTTTAAAAGTAACTTATTTGGCATTCTAAAGCACAGTTGGAAAATAGGCCACTAAAATAGGTCATTCTGTTTTCTAAAAAAGTATATAGAATACTTTTAACACATAGAGAACAAACTTCAGTTAAGAGAAAAGATGTAATCACCTCTCTTATCAGCTCCCTGTGCTCCTGGGTTTATTAAGCTGGCATGAACCGTACCCACCTTGTAACTATAGAGTTTCTACCGTAGGCTGGTTCTGATATGTGAATATTTTAAGGTCCTTGTAACCTGCACAGGAATTAACCTATACTATGTCAGCTATGTTAGGGTTTAGTTTTGGAGCCTGGCATACTCTTGGTCTCTTTCTCTTAAACTCTTAAAGTTCAATAGTATTGTTAGATTAAATTTGTGGGCACCAAGAGAGAAAACTTATTTCATTGAGGGAAGTCCGTGATGTTGGACATATGAGACTAGAAGTCCTGTTTACTTTTTCTTGAAATGAATAATTCATGTTGTACTTTGTGTTTTATAAAGATTATCATAATAATTGAATAAACTGAAACATGAAAAGGTATATTTGCCATTGAATAAATCATAAAGTTCAGTTCACATCTTGTGTTATTCTGCAGAGTTAGAAATACAATAAATCCAAAGCTATTAGTAGGGTAGAGTAAGGAATGAAAAGCAAAAGCCTCCAGTAGTCCATGGGTAACATAAATAGATGTTTTGGGAGCTTAAGGGCATATTAGTTTTGTTCTGAGATTAGAAAAATCACTCTGCAGCATCACTTTTTTTTTTTAAATATATCAAGAATTCTTTAATATTTTCAGTTATTCTTTTTAACAAATCATTGCTTACTCATTCACTAAGTGATTGATTTATTTCCAGACTTTGCCTGATACAGGCATGATTCAGATTCCCATTTCAGGAGAATTACATGATATTACCTTTTACAGACTTTGAAGTTTTAACCATTCTGGAGTGAACATTGATGTTAGCTTTTTGAATGCCAAGATCTTCTCCCTATGTTTTGTCAAAATTAATAACACCCATAACCTACAAAGCCAGACCTGAACCTTTTCCACTCCTGTTTCATTGGTGGTATCTATACACTTACTCCTTACAGTTCTTCTGTTGTACAAAGACAGCAAGTTGGTTCTCTGTATTCAAAAGAAGTAATCCACACACAGTCATTTTTGCATATGTCTTAGCATAGTGGCTGTGTTTGCTTTTTGTTTGTTCAGAAACAGGTTTCATTTTCATTGCAGATAAAGGAGAGCAGTTAAGTTTTTCACACACAAATACTCTCTTTGCCTCACATATTATTTTCCTTGAGTATTGTTAGTGACTATTTTATCAGCTAGAATATTTCTTATTAGCTGGTTTATTGCTTTTTGCTCAATTTATTTTTAAAGGTCAACAGAAAAAGCACATTTTTAATAAAAACTATAAATGCTCTCTAAAGTAATCTTGCCTTTTGTGTAGCTTAAGGATTTAAAAGAATAGAACATAGAAGAGCTTTATAATAAAATATGTGGAGACTATGCAAATTATTCCCAAAACAGTTTTTAAAAAATAACTTTGGCAATAGTTATGTACAAACTTAAGCAATTATGCCCTATTAAAAGCTTGTAATGGCAGCGGGAATAATTTTCTGTCTTGAAAAAGTTGGTTCTTTGAGGCAAGGCTACTAACTATCCCATTTTATGTACCTGTGCCACATGTGGAATCTGTGGACTTAAGGAAACTAACAATTTCTGTGCCAGTTAGCATTTATGGTTGATCCTGTTTTGATACCAGTCTTTGATAAATTCTAGGTATGGGAATTTATCTTTTTGATGTGAGGCGTTCTGCTAGGTTGTTGTTTGTATAGTTCAGATCATTATTCTGGAATTGCAGAAAACTACATGGATATGCTTTTCTAGGATTATTACTAAATTAACACAAATAACTTAAAAAAAAACCTGCAAAACCATCATCCTTGTAATAGATTCTCTCTGTAGTCAGTATTTAAATGATAAAAGTTACCCATCTTAGTATCCCAAAATGATGAGGAAATAAGAATTTTCAAAGTTATAGGACTTCTAACCATGTCTTGCCACTGCTGTTACTCAAGTGTGTGATGGGAACAGCATGCAGGTGTGTGTTGCTCTTTATTTAGTCTTCAAGTTTTGTCACCTTTTAGATTTAAAATATTTGATCAGCTGAAGAAAATAATGCATATAAAATATTTGACATCTCAGTATGGAATATTAAGTAGTGTTAATAGGGATTGGCCTTAATGTATGTGCTTTGGGTTGTGTGTATGCATGAGAGGGAGAGAGAGAAAGAGAAAGAGTGAGAGAGAATTTTAAGTCCTGAGTATAAGTGCTGGAAGATTTTTTTGAAAAACATAACCAATTTGTAATTGAAACAGGATTAGTCAAGAATCATCAACACCAACACAAGTGTATCTTGCAGACCGAAGGAATCAGCTAAACAATTTGCAGTCATCTCAATCTCTACTAAAACAAAAATCACATCCAACATGCCACCTGACACCATTTCTTTCTCTCTCTCTCCTTTGCTCCTTGCGATGTGGCATTCATCTCTCCCTGTGCCTCCGTTCTGAAGAGATAACAGTATAGCAACAACTCTGCCATTGAAATCCTGTTCTCTGACCGATATTGGCATCTGCAAAGAGAAACAACCAGTAACAGGCAGCTGCAGCATCAGTATTAATCTTCCATGATGAAATCTTTACAGGTCAAGAACAAGCACACAGCTCTTTTTTCTCACTCCTTCACAGTGGACCATGCAACTAGTTGAAATGGAA